ACGTTAAAATAATTATTGCTTTGTCAAAATGTACTACTTTTCTTCACGATATGTTGTGTTTCCAATACAAAGCAACTTTTAATGGCTGCTGCGTATTTTCGAGTTGATGTTTAGGCCTTTTTTAGTGACAAATGATGGGTTCACATAGGCATTCTTGGATGCTGATAAACTAGTCTCAAACCTTCTTTATTTTCCATATAACTCAATTAGCCTAAAAAATCGCATGGTCACCGTGGCTTTTTTTTTACTAGGGTGTATTTCAAGCTAGGAAATTTGCCTGTTTATTTGCACTTTGTCTCTCTCTGAAGTCGTACTACCGGGTATGCCTGTCAAAATATTTCTTTCATCCCTTAGAATTTTAGGCGTAACTGTGTGTTTGCGGCATCAAAAGTTATACCAATTCCTTTTTTAGCTGAACTGTGCACTGTGGAACAATGTCGGCTCCTTCATCTGTGTTTGGCAGGAAGATGTCGGTAGGCGTTCTCATTTTACGACCTGTGAGCTTCTTGAATGAAGGAATACCCGTTAATGCATGGACCATTGCGCTATATGATAAAGAAGCACGTTCTAGGCTATAGTCCTCATCAAATGGCTCTGCGTTTTTAGCGAATGCTTTCAGTGGTCCGACTGGAGTGCAATTCGTTCTTTTCACCTGTCCACTGCCTTGCGGATGCCCAGGTGCGGTGATGGCTAATGGGATCTGGAAGGTCTTACATAATTCAATGAATAACAGGCTCTCGAATTTCGAGCCTTGGTTGCTATGAAAGGATTCAGGCACTCTATGCTGGCAAATCTACCGATTCAAGAAATCAAAAGCAACCGTTTTAGCGTCTTGTGACTTTATGAGTTCTGCGTCTGCTGCTTTAATGAAGTAGTCTACCATAACCAAAACTTATGAGTTTCCTCTCTTGGTGGGTGGCAGAGGATCCATAATATCGATACCTACTCTTTTCCTTGGGTAACCTATGGGAATAGGTTGCAGAAGTGCAATGGCTACAGGATGAGAACTTTTGAAGCCGCTGCAAGTGCTACCGGTTTGGCAGAATCCTTTTACGTTTAGGGTGAGCGAAGGTCACCGGTATCTCTTGTTTCAGGCATCTAGCGTCTTCTCACCCACGTGGCACAGTTGCTCACGCACCTCTTGAAGTACTATTTATACTAATGAGCCGGGGACCACTGGGCGTTAAGGGAACCAGTTGTGCACTTTAGACACTCACACGGAACATGCTATTCCTGCATTGGAGTGTGTGTAGCCCTGTGTACTTCAGTACTTCGCCTTGCGCACCTGCCACTCAACTTGTGTCTCATACATTAAAGCAAAGTAATTGTCTGTTTGCCTTCGAATGTGAGGCGGTTTGAAAGTAGTTGATTGTTGGGTGGGAGAGGAGATGAAGTAGTTTGGAAGAGAAGAGTGGAAGTCAAGTGAATTGATGGAGTTTGGTGGAACAGTCATGGATGCGGGTGACGAAAACGGAAGTTGGGGAGGAGTTATGGCGTGTTGTTGGGATGTGGCAGAGGTGCCGACACTGCGCTGTGCGTGTGGCACAAATACTTCCTGAAAATCATGCCACTGCCGCAATGGTGTGTGTGTGGGAAGAAGGACTGTCACAACAATGAGTACTGACTGAATTAGTTGCAGCAAATGGAGGAATTGTGGGAGACTTGACCACAGCTGTAGTCGGATTGATTATTAAGGTGTGGTTAATGCTACTGAAGTAGGGAAGTAGCACGTCAGGGTGGATGGGTGAGCGAAGTGGTGGGCATTTCACATTGATTCATTACTACCAGATCGGGTCGTTTCCGCCTATTCCCCGATGATTTTTTATTTCCGCTAAGACTTTTTTGCAAAAGGGTAATTTAACTTCATCATTGCAAACATCGAGGCTGTTTAAACATGCGTTTTTCCGAGGTGCGCGAGAGTGCGTCAAATAACGTAAATGTGGCTGTAGCAACTGACATGCGCCACATTGTGGTGAAGCATATGGTTACTAGAGGTGGATGTACGGTGAATAAATTAGGCAAACAGCTCACTTTTCTTTCCGCTTTTCTGTCTTATTTCTTTTGCTGAGACTTTTTCGCGCAGATGATGACGTGTTTTCCTCCTTTTTTGCCTCTTTTAATAGTACACTGCCCACAGCATCCGTATCCAGTACGAACAGCGATGCGCCTGGTTTAAAGTCCGGCAAGACTAAAATCTCTGCGGAGCAGGGCATTTGCTCCAGTTCTTTAATTGCATCACCAAACTCTTTCGCCTACTTGAAATTCTTCTTTGTTTGCCTTTCGGTTAACTTATGCATCCTTAGTGAAGTCTTTAATAAAGCGCCGTGTTCATTTGAAAATTTTATTGATAAGTCCCTCCTGCAAGACTGATATGAGAATGGTTTTACTTTTTAGACTGTTCGAACCTTAATGTCTAATATGGTCTTCGGGTCCACAGCGCCTTACAAAGCAGTCAAGTCGGATGATGCAACAAAGGTTCAGCGCATGTGGATCTGCATAAGCACCCCATTACCATCCTTCAGCTCCATTATCTGCTCCGTCTTACACCCACATCACAAGGCCAAAATTTACAAAATCTAAAGATTATTAATTGGTTTCCTTGTGCACACAAAGTACAGCCCAAGATATTGTATGAAATACACTCAGCTGATTGTATCCATAGCACCGCAGTCATCTCCACCCAGTGTCAGTACAGCATTAGCAGAGCTCGCTGTCACCTTGCCCTCGTCCATCGTAGTCTCGCTCGCCGCAATCTGCACACACTTCCGAATCAATCTGTAAATCGTTTTGGTATGCGACCTGGGTTTTTCCAAAGAAAAACCAGAATTGAGCAGAGCTGTGTTATAGAGCATGTTCAAGACGTCTCCACAGACCTTGATCGGCTTACTCCCAGATGAAATCATTTCCTTGAGACGTAGTATTATAGGATCGTTGGGATTGATCTCCAAGTGCTTCTTCACACAATTGTTCAGAACTACATTTGGATTTTCTAGAGTCTGTGCACGCTGGATACGATGCATGTTGGCAGACCACCCTGAGGTGGATGTGACGATACAAGAGGGAGACGCGACAAGCCTGTTTGAGACTATTACGCTCTCAACCTTATCGCCCAAAATCTCCTTCATCACTGCGCAAGTTGGTTCAAATTCAGCCATTACCTGTGCAAAGCGCTCCTTCTTCTTATCTTCTAACAACTCAAGATCCAAACTAGACGTACACACCAACCTCTTGCCCAAATACTCCGTCATTCCATTCATCACAAACTCATCCATTGGATCTGTCATAAAAAGTACCTCAAGATCACGTTTCTTAAGTTCCTCGATGAATGCTGAGTCAGTAATACTCTCCAAACTTTCACCAATCATGTAGTAAATGTCATTTTGACCCTCCTTCATTCGGGACACGTAGCCTTTTAGGTCAGTCATCTGATCATGGCTCTTTGAAGAGTAGTAACGCAACAAATTGGCAAGTTTGTAGCGATTTTCATTGTCCTCGTAAACACCGAGTTTGATGCTCTTTGAGAACTGCTCATGGAACGTCATGTAATTCACCGGATCCTTCGACATCTCCTCCACTAACTCGATGCTTTTTTCTACCAAGATTTTCCGAATCCTCTGCAAAATATTGTCTTGTTGTATTGATTCGCGACCGATATTAAGGGGTAAGTTTTCTGCATCCACAACGCCGAAAATGAAGTTTAAGTACTCGGGAATGAGGTTTTTACATCTATCTGTGACCAATACTCTTTTAGCATAGAGCTTGACATTGTGAAGTCTTCCATTTTTAGCAAAGTAATCGATAGGGGTGTGTTTTGGTACAAACAACAATGCACGAAACACCACTTCATTTTCAGCTGAGAAGTGTGTGACAGCCAAATGATCTTCAAAATCCAGGCTCAGCTGCAAATAAAACTTGCTATACTCCTCAGGAGTTATGTCTCCTGGACTACGCATCCACAGTGGTTCGGTCTTATTTAGTACAACTTCAGTGGGAATTTCATTATCTTCATTCCACTCCTTGAAGTCGATAACGGACCAAATAAATTTTCTGCCAGGAGTTAACCTTATCGGGTAGGTGGTGAATCCCGAGTACTTACAGACGATCTCCTTAATTATGTACGGTTTCAGGTAATCAGACTGATCCTCCTTCATGTAGAGAATCACCTTGGTGCCACGACTCAAAGGCTCCTCACTGCATGGACAAATGGTGAAAGAGCCACCACCTGAGGACTCCCACATATATTGCTCATCATCGTTACTCTTGGAGATAACTTGCACCTTGTTGGCAACAAGGTACGCTGAGTAGAGTCCCAAACCAAAGTGACCGATAATTTTGACACCAGCATCATCTTTCGATGCACCTATGGGGATTTTTGCGCCTGAATGGGCAATTGTACCCAAATTTTTCACCATTTCGTCCTTCGTCATACCAATCCCCGTATCGATGATAGTAAGCGTGCCATCAGCTATGTTCGGGATAATCTACACCGAAAACCAGAACGTAGCAAAAATAATAAAACTAAAATCAACGCTTGTTTCATGGAAAAGCAAAACACTCACTCTAATGCACAGTTCCTGATTGGTATCAAGGGCTGATGGCTCCGTGAGGAACTTGTAGTGGATCCTATCCAAAGCAGTGGAGGCGTTAGAGATTAATTCCCTCAAAAAGATGTCCTTTTTTGAGTAGAAACC